TTATTTATGAAGTCAGTGCTCCAAGAAGGGAGGGACCAAAGAACTGAGTGAGTGTGTTTGTGTTTTAAAGTGAGAGAGAAGGAGGGAGGGAGGGTGTGAGAGAGAAATAACACAAGCTGAAGGGAGGGCAAAGACTGTAGCGACTGAACGACGCAAGTGAGCAGTCAAGACAGTGTTGAGTTACAGGAGCTCGCTCTGTTTGGAGGAGAGCGAGGTGGCTTTAGGCTTACTTCTGCTGCCGCTGGCCTCAGGAGAGGCAGCGCCTGGCAGCCCAGGAGGGACAGAAGCCATAGCATGGGACACAGTGCTAGCAGCGAAACTGTGGCCCAGCAACAAGCCCAACACAACACGGGTGAGTCCAAGGCCAGACGCTCAGCACTTAACAGCTGTCATGAACATACCTTTGACTAGTTTTAACTGAGGACCAAATCTGGCAGCCAGAGGATATCATGTTGGATAGAGTATACAGAAACAGGTGTCTTCAAAGCAGAGAGAAACTAAAAGGCAGCAGGCACAGACAGGTGTAGAAGTATGCATGCAGATGGAATGTGGCGATTGTGAAATGTGCAAGCCACACAAACCTCTCTCTGTCTGCACTCATCTCCGAGTGGAACATTATCTGAAAACCGAGATTTGGGGGTACAAGGCACCAGCTGACTCCAGCTCGCCGCATGTTTTAACTCAAACGACTTGACTCCTCGAGCCTTCCTATAATTCACAAGTCTACAGGAAACCATAAGTCTCAGTCTCTTTGGTTAAGCAAATAGCAGATCAAACACTGAGAACTGGTTTTTGCTGTTAGTAGGAAAGTCTGCATCTGGACTCACACAATTCTTACTAACAATGCAGCTCATCATTTTTTTTTTAATTTTTTTATTTTTAATAAATCGAGCATCTGTATACCACTGGAGTGTTTCCTTTCTTTTGAACAATATCTCAAAGCAGTGTGTCAGTCCTGGTCTGATGTGATGTGGTATTCTGCTGGATAGTTTCCCTTTAAACATTTTGTAACATTCGTTCCTCTGCAAAACAAGTAACACGAGAACATCTTCTTTGCTACATATTTGCTCTCCATTTTTGTCTCTGGTGTGCTGTTCTGTGGTTTGCTGTTTATGACTGGCATGACTCATATGGATAGCTTGACTAGAGGACTACAGGGTATTACCAGCTAGTTAGTATAGGTTTAAGGCTTTTATAACTCTTTCAGGTGACTGGGAAAAGCTTTACTGTTCATAGCTGGTTTATTAAAGCAAATCGGTAGCTTGGACAGATTCTGACTGCTCGCTCAGGGAGCATTAGTAGCATGCCATTTTTCCTCTTGACTGTGGCTCTCAGAGGTCACTGCCTTTAGGTCTTTGCTCACTCAGTGAGAAGCTGCCTTGTCCAATTGGTTTGCTGTAACACAAGGTCACCATGTCATATTTCTGACCACTTCAGTGATCTCCTAGTCTACTGCCACCCTGCCCCTCCTATTGAACTCCAAGTGTCAGAAATAGCTGTGAGAGCAAGCGATGAGTGCAGAGAGCACATAGGATAGGATTCCACACATGCATCCAACAGCCTGGTCACAACATACTTATCGAAATATATCAAAAGAAACAAAAAATGTATTCACTTATATTTTCAATAATTTCAACTGTGATGACTGTAATGACTGCTGTCTGACATTTTAACTTCAAATGCCTTGTTTTGTCTGACCAACAGTCTGAATTCTGTTATTTAAGAAAGTCAAAAAGAAAATAGTCTAAAAGGAAAAAGAATATCAATATTATCCAGATTATCAGCTGGATGTTCCATATTGGTCCTGTTGAATAACTTGTGCAAATAAGATGACATAGTGATGTCATCAGCTAGTTTTTAGCTGCTGTGTCACAAATTTAAAAAAAAAA